GGCATCAGGGCGATTTTGGAAAGGATGAAGGTTGAGTAGGTGGGCGGTTCTGTGAATGGACATGGAAGAAGAAGAAGAGGAGGAAGAGGGCAAAACATCCGTCTCGCATTGCATCATTGGCTCGCTTTCCTCGGCCCGTCTTCGATTTCTCCTGAGACACGGCGTCACGCGTGCGCTCAGTCATCAGTTCATGATATCCCAGCGCTTTTCCTCTTCTCTTCATTCTTTTTGAATAGCTTTCTTTGTTTACATACCCTTTTGCATGACGAGGCTGGATCTGCGAGCTCGAATCGGAGACGTGGAGCTGAAAAGATGTTTTGGACGGCTGTCTGTTTTCCATGCGCGTGGACGATTCGTGCCCACTGTTCCCTCTTACCTCCACCGTGCTTTTTGCGTTGATACAAAGGCGCAGATGCCTTTGGTTGGATTCTGGACCCTGTGAAGTGAAACATGGATCCTTGGTCGATGCAAAGAATAGCTGGAAACTGAAAGCATTGTTTTTCCCGCTGTGGGAAAAGATTCATCACACAAATCTGCGACAAGAGAAAAAGCCCTTCATACCCTCATACGGTCATGGACACCGCCCCGCTAAATCAACCCCTTCACCCCCTCCTCCCTCCCCTTCCCACCCGCCACAACCTCCTCCTCAAGCCCTACCTCCTCATCCTCCCCGTACGCCAACCTCACATCGCCAATCTCATCCCCGACCTCCAACCACGTCTCGCTACAGGCCGGGATGGGGCTGACCTTACAGAGCGCCCAATAAACAGTCGCGCTAACGACAAATCCAGCAAAGAAGTTCAGGTTGTAGATGTAGGTGGCGCCGACGGGAACGGTCGTGCCGACGGCGCCCGCAAAACCGACGACGTTGATCAAGATGCCAGCGATGTAGGCGGCGTAGGCGCGCCAGTGGAAGCCGGCGGTGAAGAAGTAGGGGTCGGAGTGACGGGCCGAGTAGAGGGATTTGACGTCGTAGTAGCCGCGGCGCACCCAGTAGTAGTCGCAGATCATGACGCCGGCGATGGAAGACAGGAAGACGGAGTAGGCGGATAGGTACGTCGTGAAGTTATTGGCCGTGTCCAGGAGCTTCCACGGACACATGCACAGCCCGATCAGGGCGCAGATGTAGCCGCCCCGCCGGATGGTGAGGAAGCGCGGCAGGAGCGCTGTCATGTCGGTGCCGGCGGAGACGGAGTTTGCGGCGATGTTGGTGCCCAGTTGGGCGAGCGCGAACGCTGTCGCGATCATGAAGATGCCGAAGCGGTCGGCGGATGTGGGAGCGTTGTCCAGGACGAGGGTGAGGAGGTCGAGGGGGTTCCAGACGGGGTCGCTGGACGGGTAGATGATTTTGGCGGACGAGGATACGATGATGCCGATGAAAGAGGTTATGGCGAAGCCGAGGGGAATGGTCAGAAGCTGGGACCATAGTGCGTCTCGGGGCTTTTTGGCGAAGCGGGAAAAGTCGGGGTCTGGGATGGTGGGATTAGTAGATCTTTGGGCCGGCGGATGTGTGTGGCTCACCGTTGACGATCAGGGTAGCAAAGTTGGCTATGGAACTCATGATTCCTTTTACGATTTCCCAACCCAAAGCACCGCCGGACAGTTTGGCTGGTTGATGGACGATCGGACCAAGGCCGCCTGCCTTGACGACGAACCAAATGAAAAAGGCGATTCCGGCACATGGGACAACGTAGGCTTTGACTGTGAACAGATGTCTGATCTTGTGCACAGGAAACCAGATAGCAGGGAGACTGAAAGCCCAGAACAGGAAGAAGCTGACGAACATGACGGTACTAGTGCCAGAGCTTGGAATGCCGTTCGGGACAACACCCTGGAAAGTGTCAGTCGAGTCAAATCCTGACTTGCAATGCGGCACATACATCTCTCCAGTTATTCCAGATCGCTCGTATCATAAGCTGTACGCATTCGCCTATTCCCCAGTCAGTAATTGCAATCTATGCGAGCGGGAATTGATGATTACCTCCGATCCATGACTGCACGCCATACCAGACACATGCCATGGCAGCACGGTTGAAGACTGGCCACAATGATCCCCAGATACCAAAGGATGCTCGATTGACGACGGGAAATCCAATGTGATAGGTGGCGCCGATACGACCAGTCGCGCAGATGAAGCAGGCTGATATGGCGTAGCCGATCCAAACGCAGAGCCACGCCTGCCACCAAGATAGGCCGGCTGCGATGGTCGACGATGCGATCATCCAGGTGTTGATATTGAACGAATCAGCTAAGACGGCCGTCAGTAGTAGTTCAAGACTTGTTTGCGATATTCTGTACCGATCCAGAATCCCACAAAGTTCCATGACCGCCATTGACGGCGCGCTGGCTCAACTGGTTTCAAGTCGTAGTTCGTCAAAAGCAATTGGATGTTGCTCAAGCCCGGCTCAGACTCGACCGCGAGCTTGTCGACATAATGGGCGAGCTTCGAAGTCTTGACCTTCTCCATGGCGAAAATAACTAGAGGTCGAAACTCTCCGGTGCTGAGAAAGCTAGGAAAGCGCTCGAATTGTAGTCGAGAATCGGGCAAAGGAAGTTCTTCTCCAGAACCTTGATCTGACCGTCGTGCAAGCTGAGGCTGAATGGCAGGTGGGGTGGCAGATGTTGAAGACGAGGCTGTGATCAGAGGTTCCCGCTCCTGGCTTAAAGAATACACTTGAGGAAGCAAGTCAGAGAGGAGAAGGTAAAGGATGAAGTAGTGGCCTGTCGTACCATGACCGGAAAGGCCGTGGGTATATATGTCGTGTGCACGTCGCATGCCGGTGGAGGTGGTAGATTTCGGCCAAGGCGTACGATTGGTCCCCCAAGCTTAAAGATGGTCGCTACCGGGATGCAACCCACTCGCTAGGGCGGCAGGAGATGCTGTGGAAGTGCAGAAAAGTGCTTATCAAAAGCCCTGCCGGACATGGTCGATTCGGCACTGATGCTCCGTCTTAACAGCATATGTTTTCTCGACTCACACTGAAGCGACAGTCAGGCGCAAGTGGCAGATGAGCTTCGCAGGACGCAGGAGGATGACACCTCAGACCCGCTCCCGCCCGCCTTATCGCGAGTCGACGGTATCTGTGCAAGGACCATCCGCCACGATCAAGCGGAGTGCGGCTGTGGGATGATGAGATTGATATCTGGGGTAAAAGCCCAGCTGCCGCGCTCGAGGCCCGAAATCCAGTCCAATAAGCCGTAATGCTCGCCTGTACTCTCCGCTTCTGCAGCAGGAAAACTCTTCTCGGAGCCGTTGCAGGCTGACGTTGAGTTGCGCCCATGGACGTGATGGGACAAGCGTCGGCTGATAAGCCCTGTGCCGCCAAGGGCTTTGACTCGATGCATTCATGTCAGTGACGCCGGGGGTATCAATGGATGCTGTTGACATGTTTCCATCGAGTCAACCAAGATATGTAGCATCAGTGTGATAATCGAGCATGATCAGTTGCGTGGAGATGAGTTTGGTGCTGAAGTTGAGGTGGACGTTGCTCGTCTCGAGTCACGGGAGATGTGGGGGAGCACGTGCTTGCCCGATTGGGAACCAGCCACCTTGGTGGGGATGGTCGTCTCCTGAGCGAACGACAACCTCCACCACTTCCAATCCACTGCATCATCGAAAGCCCTTATGTCCCAGCAAGTGATCTCTTGTGCTCTCGTCTGATAATCACAGAGTGATGTCGCAGGATCCGCCTCTCGCAGGGAGACACCTTCTTCCGTCAGAGACACGACCGCCATTGTAGCTTTGACGTCACGCACTCTATCCTAACGATCATTCCCTGGGACCCAGGACGTGAGTATCGTGCCGCTGCATTATATTGGATGGGCCTGAACATCCAACCATCTATCGCGATTTATGGCGATTCCAAAAAGGTGCGACACAATAAGAACGGTCTGCAAATCAGTCTGATTTTCCATCCTTCCGGAATAGACACTCATCAGCGATGCAGAGACATTCTATTGATGCTCATATCAGCAGAAGACAGTCTTTTGTTCTTCTCAAGTCTCCTTCCAATTTTTCTATCCACAGACTCTCCCATCGATTTTCTACTTTCGGCATAGCATTCAGTTCTATCGTCTCGTTCATTTCCTACCAAGTTCATGATCCAACGCCGGCAAGAGATGGAAATATGTCCGTGGTCTATCGAACGTCAGTCCCCGTCATGACCTCGGATTTGGGTCGAAGGATCTGCCGAGCCGCTGTCAGGCCCGCCCATGTCCATCACTTGACCACCGGAATATGGCAAATGGTGTTCAGAACCGCATCATCTTGCGTGGATGTTCTGCTAACAGCAAAGCAATCCCACAGTCTGTCTGAATGTAAGCCCATTTGCCAGAGTATCTTCCATCAAAAGCACCTAACAGCGATTGAAAGCCGCCCGGCTAGCTCAATCGGTAGAGCGTGAGACTCTTATACAGAGTACATCTCAAGGTTGCGGGTTCGACCCCCGCGTTGGGCTCAATTCCCTACTCCTCGCGAGAAGCTTCTTTTTGGTGGTTGTGGTGCTGTTTTAGGGGTGGTGGACCAGAAGGAAGAGTTTTTTTGGTTCTCGGCAGTATTTCGGCATCATGTCAGCCACGGACCCCCCGGCTTCCTTCGGCATGACGAGGAGAAAGAGCTCTTGACCGTAGGTCTATTCTGTTGATGTTGCTCGAAGAAAGAACAAATTTGACATTGCCCTTCTCTGCTCTCAAGTCATTTTTTTCTTTTTCTTCATCACGGCTACTCCAAAGCAGAACAAGAGGCATCCTTGAAGCCGCAACAGCCAGTCCGAGTCCCTGCAAAGCTGCAGGGCACGAGCACGAGCACTGACGACTCACTGATCACTTCGCCAACTTTGGGTGTCATCGGTGCACGAAGCAAGCCGCACACCGGCAGCAGGCAAACAGCAAATAACCCAATCACCACCAACTCTCTTACTTTCGGAGAGCTTCTTCGCATGTCAGAAACCATCTGGTCATAACATCCATCATGGTTAGATTTTATCAATACGTACTCAATTGGTTGCATGGTGTAATGGTCAGCACCTCAGATTCTGATCCTCTTCTCGGAAGCTTCTGGAGATCTGGGTTCAATTCCCAGTGCGACCTTCTTTTTGGCCGGGCATTTGTATAGTGGTTGTGCTTGCTGTGGTTGACTGCTAGAGATGAAGTGGGAAATCAGATGAGTCATTTTGGACTTCTTAGACGTTCTGTTTGGGTAAGAGGCCAGATTTTACACTTTTTCTTTGCTGTGTCTGTAGATTGGTGTAGACAGGTCATAGGAATCTTCATTGTTGTTGCTTCTACGTGCAGTTGAAGACACAAATCTTCGGTTTGAGGCGCGGACAATCTGATCATGGCCGCAGTGCACGGTTAAAGCAAGCCAGAAACATCATCTCGAGGCAAGCCTCGAATGAAATTTCAGGTCATTGAAGTAAGTCCAGACAGCGATCATGAGACGCTGGCAGTAAATGCGCCTTGTACCCAGGAAGATGAAGTAAGCCCGCACCACACGTGGTAAAGAGGTTGAAGTGCGCCCGGCAACGACCAAATTACCCCAGCCTCGGTGAATGGGTTTCTAGCATCAACCCGCCAAAACCCAAGACACTGCTACGACATGGGCAGTTAAGTGCTTTTGTCAAAGCTCAATCGAACCTCTGCTAAATCTCTTGCACAAACCATGCACACAACGCCCAAAACACCAATACATCACCCACAAAAGACCAGAAAACTAGAACATCCCCTACGCATAACGGCACCACCCCCCTTCCTCAGCCAGATCATTTGCTTATAATGCAACGCTTGAAATTTTTTGCCACCAACCAAACACGAGGTTGCATGGTGTAATGGTTAGCACTTCAGATTCTGATCCAAACATCAGTACATTCTGGAAATCTGAGTTCAATTCTCAGTGCGACCTTTTTTGGCCCCACGTGTGGCTCACCCGGGAAGAACCGTCAGGCAGTTTTATTAGCTTTCTGTCTGGTAGCTGTGACTTTCAATTTTTTTTTTCTTCTCGCATCTATTTTTGGAGGTGGAGTGCTGTGGGGATGAGTCACATGGACGGGGCGCCGCGGCGGTGCTTTTTCGGCGGGCTGGGAACCTTTTTGTAGAGGGCGTGGTCCGAGGGCTTAAGTGGTGGTGGTGGAGATTAGATAAAGGGTCCTTGGACGTCATAGGTATCTTCTGCTACCTAGATACAGGTACAGAGATATAGGGTTCGTAGTTCGGTTGGTGATATAGGGATTGTAGTGGGAATTACTATCGATATCGGTAGTTGTGGCATTAGGAGACTTTTGTTTTGTTTTATTAAACATGCTGAAACTCCGGCGTAAATAAACCTCAAGCATGAAGCATGTGCATAAATCACGGAGAAAGGTGTACTTGATGTGCTTGGATGTTGATGAATTTGCCGGGCAGCGGAACCATCATAAACGAGACGAGCTGCATCACCTAGAAGATAAAGTTGGTACGAATGCTTCCTGATCCTATTCTGATAGGAGTAATTTTGATATTATTGTATAACATTTTTCTGGCGAGGGACGCGTGTACTGACCCCGGTAGCGACCGCTATGACTGCGAATACAATTGCTGGATGCTGAAAAATTACAGATGAGAAGTGCCAATCAGAAGACCCCAACGCCGACCCAATGCAAATACTGCGAGCCTGCCGCAGGTCCCCTATATAGCCGTCTCGTATAACCTCCTCTAACGACAGAGACATCTATGTCGCTTCTACTGGATGTCCTTCTCATCACCACCCTTGAGCACCCACTCACTATCGCCGATCTTCTTACCCCTGGCCTCCCATTTCGCGCGGCGCTCCTCGCGTCTCTTATCGCACATGGAGTTCAGGGTGGGCCAGTAGATAGAGTGGTCGTATTCGAAGTCGACGTCGCCGCCGTACGATTTCATGAGTTGGGCCGAAGGGATGTGGTTGGCGAAGGGCTCGTTGAACTTCATTTTCGACTTTGTGACGGGGTCGATGAAGGGAGAGATGATCTTGAAGAAAGTGGTGACATACCAGGGCACTGGACGGTTTGCCATGGTCAGCACTGTCTAGGGACGAGAAAGGAAAGTGATAGACAGGAGTATGGTGAAACTCACGATCAGATATCAGAGATCGGCCGTTGCGCTCTGGGTACTGTCCTTGCAGGATGTTCAACACCTGCTTACCCTGGCTAGCTGAAGGATTCTTCGCGCTCGTCGTGTTCTTGTAGTCGATCAACAGGGCAATGCTCTCCACACCGGGACCCATGAGTTCAGTGGCGCGCTCCAGCATGAAGACCAAGTTCTGCACTTGACGGTCGCTCTTCGCAGTGTTCTGCTTGCCCGGATCCATATACATGCAAGGCCTCCCGTCGTTATCGAAGCCCAGCAGCGTCAACTTGCCCGTCTCGTTCTCCGGGCTGATGTAGTCGGCCGTGAAGCCCCATGTGCCATACTCGCGACGCCATGTCAGGGTCGTCTGTATGCGCTTGGCGGCGTCATTGGCACTCGACCACTTGACGGCGCGGAGGTATCGCAGCAAACACTCGCGCGTGAGCCACATCCTCTCGTCGTCCGTGATAGGCTCCGCAGGGGCATTCTTGGCAGACGTCGTGGGCACAGTCTCCCACCCTTGCACGATCTCGAGCAGAGACGTGTACTTGGCCTCCTGATCTGCGCTCAGCGGCTGCGGCGGCGCGGGTTTGCATTGCGGCATGGGGTGGGCGAAGGGCTTCTTGACCGGCCCGTCGGCGGGCAGAGCATCTTTAACGTCACCCATTTGGAGGGAGTCTTCCTGTGAAACGGCTGCCGTGGAAGAGGCTGAGGAGTCTTGAACGGTGTCCGTGGTCTCGTGGGGGCCCTTTTCATTGATAGGGGCGGTGGTAGGTTCTTGGAGCTGCCCGTTCTCGGCAGCAGACATGTTGAGGAGAGTGTGGAAAGTAGAATTCGGGTATACAAAAGTAGAGCTTGAGGACAAAGTGGGAGTCTGTCAGATTGTTGTACGAAGAGCGGGGATTGTTGGGAGAGTCAGCAGCAATATACCTAAAGCACAGGCAGGGTCCAGATATTCATCCTTTCCCTCTCTGGCCTCGTCATCCGGAGCTTCCCAGCGCCGATGATGCAGTTTCAGTCTTGGCATCTAATCCCGCGCCGTCTCCGCCGCCCCTCGGCTCAATGCGAGCTCCGCCCCAGACTCCGATGCCGCCGCCGCTCTCCGCCGCCGCTCTCCGCCGCCTATCAACGCGTCTCGCGTCGAGTCGCGTCTGCCGTCCCATCACGCGCATCTTCCACCTTCAACAACCACCGCAGCCCAAGACGACCTTCAACGACCTCGAAATGGACGACACGTCCGCTGAGCTCACGGAGCTCTTCGCACCCAATAATGAACTCCCCGCCGAAGTCCTGGGCGAGTTGCAGTCCATGCTACGCCTTTACTCCATCTCTCCTCAAGAGCTCTTTTACAAATGGGAGTCCTACAGCATCAAGATGGGCTCGGACACGAGTCTGAACCTTCGAACCGCGCGTGACCTCAAGAAAGACATACAGGATGCCCTGGAGAGAGAGACCCGGGGCAAAGTAGCTCATGCCAAACTGGAGAAGCGGGCTGTGGGCGCGACGCAGCGTGCTGGGGGTAGCAACACGGATGTCTTCGGGATGTAGGTCACCACATCACTACACTCCCGCGCGTTTCCGTCTGACTGTCTGACCAAACCTTCAGGCTTGATGGTCTTGTTCCAAACACCCCCGCTGTGAAGCGCAGATCGAACTTCGACACGCCTGCCACCAAAGCTGCCAAAGCACATGCCCAGAGTTCGCCTGCCGAGTCCAAGACACCCCAGACAGCATCAAAGCAGCCCAATGGCGCGCCCGCCGTCTCTTTCGCAGAAAGACCCAATGCGGGCGAGATCAAGGAGAGCCTCAACCACCACATTCCGATACCCGACCCTCCCACGGAGTCCCCCGCGGAGCCCCGAGTCAAGCTGAAGGCAAACACGGAATTGAACAAGTTCAACTACAAGACTATGGCCATGAAGCTTTCCGAAGCGTCCGAAATCCTTGATGACCGTATCGACGAGTTCATCGGGTTAGTTCAGGCTCATCACCACTTAGAAGACACCGCTTTCGGCAACCCCGCCAGTCAGAGTACCAACGAAGTCGTTGCCGTCGGTCGCATTGCATCGGATAGCAACGAGGGTAAACTCAATGCCCCCTCTCTTGTATTAGAGACGTCGCGAAGGACCGGGGCGGGACTCAGAATACCTCTGAGAGTCGACAGACTGCAAGCATACAATTTCTTCCCAGGCCAAATCGTCGCTCTCCGTGGTACCAATGCTTCGGGGTCTTTCTTCCAAGTCGCGGAAGTTCTCGAGATTCCACTGTTGCCCCCTGCCGCATCTACGCCATCGGAGCTAGACATGCACAATGGACGACTTCAGATAACCTCCGACGCAATGGACGACGGAGAATTTGACGACCCAGCCCATATCGGACCCCTCAGTGTCATGGTAGCCTCCGGTCCCTACACCCCCGGCCACATCCTCGACTTCGCCGCTCTCCGCGCCCTACTCGACTCCGCCCTCACTGCCCGCCCCGACGTCCTCGTCCTCGCCGGCCCCTTCCTTGACACCGAGCATCCAAGCATCATAAACGGCGACTTCGACGACATTCCCGCCTCCGCCATCCCCAATCCCGACAAAGCGACCCTCGTCGACGTCTTCAGGTACTACATCTCCGGCCCGATTTCCCAACTCGTATCGCAGCACCCCTCCATCACCATCATCCTTCAGCCCTCCGTCCGCGACGCCATCAACAAGCACGTCTCGTATCCGCAGGACCGCCTTAAGCGTCAGCAATTCGGCCTCCCCAAGCAAGTCACGATCGTCACCAACCCCGTCACCATCAGTATCAACGAGATCGTCGTCGGCATCTCCAGCCTCGACGTTTTGGACATGTTGCGGCGCGAGGAGTGTGTCAGCGACAAGGCTAGAATGCAGAACGCGATGGAGCGCTGGAGTACCAATCTTATTGCTCAACGGAATTTCTGCCCCGTGTTTCCGCCGACGGCGAGGGAGGCATTGCCGAAGGTTGATGGCGTGGAGGGCAGGGGAGAGGGGGATGGGGAGGATGTGCAGTTTTTGCCTCTGGGAGCGGTGCTGGATACGAGTTATTTGAAGTTGACCGAGTGGTTGAATGTTAGGCCGGATGTGCTTATTACTCCGTCGGCATTGACGCCGTTTGCTAAGGTATGTGCAATTTGCTGTTTCCGGACTTCTTCGCGTCCAAAGTGGCAGACTTCTTCTCTCCTCTCCTCCTTTCTCTCAATGGCAGGACCGAACCTGAACTCACACCGCCCGCAAACAGGTCGTAAACTCCGTCCTCGTCCTCAACCCTGGCACCCTAAGCAAGAAACGTGGCCCTGGCACGTACGCGCGCATGACTGTACTGCCGGCGAGCGTATCCGATGAAGAGAGGGAGAAGGGCGACGTTCTGCCGCACAAGATATACGAGCGCGCGAGAGTAGATATCGTTCATGTTTAGAAGACTTGATTGACGGGGTTTTTCTGAGGATACCACGAGTGGGATGGCTGGCGCAATATCATTTGGTTTTGGGGGTTCAGGGTCGCATATGGTTGTGGAAATATGGTATGGCTGGATACGCAGGCAGTGTTTTGGCGCATTGAAAGGCGTTTTTGAACCAGACGCAAAGATCCAAGGAGGTTCACATTAACGGCGCTCATTCTACTTCCGCGATTCGTAGAGCCGCCTTCTGGCGTTGGCGCTTCGATCGTTCATTCTACAACCGTTATCTTTGCTTCCCTTGTGACCTTGCTCGTAGACAAATCCCTCCAAAAAGGTGACTGGCTGGGCCTACATCAACAGAAATATCCCTCTTCGGTACCTGTGTTCCTTTCCCTCCTCTTTATTTTCACA